ATGCTATACTCCAACTTGAATTAGGACTATCTGAATTAGAATAAAGATTAATTTATAAACCCTGCTATACTACTTTTACTAAAGACTAGATTATAATAACCTATGAAGCATATATTTCTACTAACAAAGTAAAGGCTGAAGAACCTTTGTTAATTGCAAAGTTTGCAGAAAAGAAGAGCCAAGATTACAAATGCTATTTGAAGATAGTAGTACTCAGGACCTATAGTTCTGTAACTTAGAACATATATATGCTTACAAAGCCTATATTGATATTCTCTATAACTATAATTATAATCTCTGGACTAGAATTAAATACTATACTGAATCTACATGATATACTAGAAGTATATACAACCTTAATCAAACCCTAATATTTAGACTAGCTAAAGTCTTACTTGAGAAAAGTGATCTCACTATTCAAAAAGCTCTTAAATCCTAGACCTATAATCAGATAAACTATGAATAGTCAATAAATGAAATATTACTCTTACTAAGAGTAGAAAGAGATATGCTCTATGATGATGAAGAAATAATCTTACAACAGACTTTAAAAGATTCTATAGATATTAACTACTCTGATTTTAATAGACAAGCTTCTATAGCTAACTTAAAGAGAAGCTTTACAGTTGCAATTGATCTTTGCAATGAATGTTTAATAGTATAGCATCAAAATGAACTTGACTGAAATCAAGGAACCTGTAATGAATATGTTTTGATCAAAGAAACACTAGAAGACTCAGAAGAAGAGAAACTTGAAGAGCTACCTAAACAAATAGTATCCCAACTCAATGACCAAGATCTAAAGATTCAACAATTAGAAGATCAAGTTCAAAAATTAGAACAACTTAGCTAATGACTTCTTTAACTACTAATTCATAATTCTTAATATGCTAATGAATAGATTCAACAACTAATCTCATTAGCTAACAAATTAAATTTTTAGAGAATCCTAAGCAGAATAAAAAACTACCTGATGAAACAGAGCCTAAAAGTTTTTTATTTGAAACAGAGATATATACTATAGACAAAGAGCTACAACCAGAAATAGGACCTCTAACAATAGAACAAAGACAATTATTTAAACAATTATTATCAGAATTTACAAACCTTTTTGCAAATAAAAAAAATGAACTAGATAAAACTGATTTAGTCACTCATAGAATATACATAGAGAATGTATCTTCAATACAATTACAACCTTATTCAGTACCAACAAATTAACAAGAATTTATTAAACAAGAGATACAAAAGATGCTAGAAAACAAACAGATATGTATTTCAGAAAGCCTCTGAACTTCACCTGTAGTACTTGTTAAAAAGAAGAATGAGAAGTTACAATTTTGTATAGACTATTGAAAGCTTAATAGTATTACTAAAAAGGATATATATCCCTTACTAAGAATAGTTGAAATATTGGATATCTTAGCTAGATCTAACTAGTTTTTAATCTTAGACCTCACTAGTAGATACTGGCAAGTACAAATACACTTAGATGATAGAGAAAAAACTGCTTTCACAACTCAATATAGAATCTACAAGTTCAATGTCATGCTCTTTAGACTATATAATATCTCTACAATATTTTAAAAATTAATAGACTGAATTTATAAAAACATTACGTAGAAATTTGTTGTTATCTATTTTGATAATACAATAATATATTTACAAACATTAATGATCATTTGAAATATCTAAGAGAAGTATTTCTACAAATTAAAAAAGCTGAATTAAAATTAAATTTAGAGAAATATCAATTTTGAATGTAATGACTACCTTTTCTTGAACATATAATAATGCTTTAAGGAATAGGACCAAATCTAGGAAAAGTTGAAGCAATTAAAAAATTAGTATTTCTAAAGAATATATCTTAGTTACGTTCATTTTTAGGACTTGCTAGATACTATAGAAAGTTTATTCAAAACTTTTCTAAAATAGCTAAACTATTGAATGAGCTATTGAAAAAGAAACAACAATATAATTAGAAAAGAAACTAAGATGAAGCTTTTAATACTCTTAAAAAGGGATTAATAACTGCATCTATATTAGTATATCCTAAGTTTAAACAAACATTTATAGTAGCCACTGATGCTTTATATAATAGATATGGAGCTACCTTAAGTCAAATAGGTCTTAACAATAAAGAATATCTAATTGCCTATACTAGCAAAAGTCTTCGACTAGAAGAAGTAAATTATAAAGCTACTAAACTAGAATGTGCTACAATAGTATAGGCTATTAAACATTTTTATAAATATTTAGGAATCTCCAAATTTATACTTATAACAGACTATATAGCTCTTAAATAGTTACAAACTGCTGAATCAAAAGGAAAAATAGAAAGTTAGATCTTAAAGTTACAACCTTATAACTTTGAGATTATTTATAAACTAGACAGGATTCACTCAAATATGGATGTTCTCTTGAGATTGAAACAGGAAAAAACTATAATGTATTCATAAATTTAGACCTATATCAGAATTTATATAATTATCTAGAAACAAAGCAATTACCAGATAATCTAAGTAATAAAGAGTGAAAATAAATTATAAACCAGAACTAATTTTTCAAAACAAAATATAACTTATTATAAAAAGAAATAGAAAAGACTAAAACAACTCTATACAAGTAATTAAATGAACTAAAGTAGAGCTAATACTGTATATAATGCATAACTATTCAACTAGTAGATATTTAGGAATAAATATTATGTACATAAGATTGCTATATAATATTATTAGGACCAAATGTATAGAGATATTCAAGTATATATATATTCTTATATAGAATGCCAAAAAAGATTAAAAACTAGAAGAAATGAACTACTTCATCTAATACAAGTAGAAAGAGCCTTCAAACGAATTGGTATTGACCTAATAGAACCTTTATCTATTATAACACAAAATAATCAATATATAATAGTTGCAACAGACTATTTAACTAAATGGCTAGATACCAGAGCTGTTCCTAATATTAGAGCAAATACCTTTACAAAGTTTATATTTGAAGAAATTATCTGTAGATATAGAACTTTGAAGATAATACTCTTAGGCTAAAGAAGAAATTTTATAAGTGAAACAGTTAGAATTTTATATAAAAAATTCTTAATTGTATACAAATTCTTATCTGCATATCATTCTCAAACAAATAGGATAATTAAAAAACTTAACAGAACCTTATATGAATCTCTTGCTAAAGTAAAAGGAAATAATGAATAGGATTTTCATATACCAGCTGTATTGTTAGTATATAGAACTAAGAGACATACTACAATAGGATATATAACTTTTCTACTTGTATATAGTAAATAAGCAACTCTACCAATTAAAATAATTCTACCTATAGAACTTGTAAAAGATGAAGAAATAGACCTAAACAATAGTATACTATAATGAGCATATAAGTTAATAGAAAAATTACTTTCATATCATCAAAATGCAAGAGATAATATAAAGAAATCATAAAAGAAACAGAAAGAATATGTAGACAAACGAGTTTACTTTAAAGACTTTGAAATAGGAGAAAAAGTCTAAATAGAGTGAAAAGATATTGAATACTCTCACTTAGCAAAATTTGAAGATAAGAGAATTAGACCTTACATAATACAAAAGAAATTAGAAAATAGAACTTATTAAATAGGAACAGAAGATAAAAAAATATTAAAAGAATATTATAATAGTAATAGACTTGCTAAATATTATAAGAAGCAAATATGGGAACCAATAATTGTTATCTAAATTTTTAGAAGAAATTTTTATTAGATAGATGAAATTAGTGAAACAGACAGTATATAACCTCAAAAATATAAATAGTACTGAAATTCAACAAAAATTTCTCTAAAAAGAAACTCTTAAAAAGAAATAAACAAATTAATACTACTACTCCAAACTTTAACTGCATTATCAAATTTTCTTAGAGAATAGTACACAGACTCTATATCACAACATCACCTATGGATCACCCTACAAAATATTATTTTATTAAACAATGAAGATTAGTGTTGTTAATAAACATAGATATAGACATAGACATATATTGTTTATGAACAGTTTATGTCTATGAACAAATAAAAATTATATCTATGATAATGTCTATGTTCAAGATAATATAGTACTACTAAATAAAAATTAGGCATTATGCATATAAATCTTATAACTGAGGTTTTGTTTTTTATTTAGTAACAATAAAATTCAGTATCTATATACTTTTATAATTCATATAAGTAAAGACTATTTGATGATCTAAAAGAGAAATTACTTAAACTTAAAATTTGAATCTAAGTAATCTAATTATTATTAATTTTTCGAGTTATTAAATTAAAAAAATATATATATTTAAATAAGTTCGATCTCTTTTATTTTGTTAATCGAATATTTGTTATAACAATATACAAAAATTGTTAGTAACTTGTATAATATTTATGATAGGATACTTTTAAATTAAAAGTATGAGTAAATAATTAGAGTATAACAAAGTTCAATAATAAAAAATTTGCAATTCCATATTTAAATAACTCATTAGAAATAATTTTATTATGCATATTCAAATTTATTAAATTAGCCTTGCAAAGACTCTAATATATATTAGATAAAATATTAAACAAAAAAGAAGTTAAAAAATAATAATATACTTTTGTATTTAATTTAATAGATTAAAAGTATTCTCAAGTAGCAATCTCAATAAAATAGCTATTAATCATAATAGTTCTCAACTATATAGTAAATTTTAAATAGATTTTTGTCAATAATTAATAGAACAAATAAGGTATAATTAACATAATAATTGAATTGCTGATTTCAATTGATTATTGTGCAAATAGTTTTATTATTATCTTTTATTATTACCATAAAAAAATTATTTTTATAAAAAATAAAAAACAATAAACACAAAAAAACATATACTAGCAATACTATATCTGAACTCTTGTTAAGTTTATAAATAGTTTAGAAGTTTTGAACTTTTGTATAATTGAAGATCAAATAGTTTAAAGTTATTAAAGTATTCTAATATTGTTTAATGTTTCTAAGAATAATCTAAATAATAATATAGTTAGTATAATATTAAAAATTTTTTTAAAAAATAAGAATATCAATTTTGAATAAACTAAAGAATTACTATATAGGTACTTTATAGCAATATTAAGATATTTCATAAAGTATAACATAATTTTATCAGAGATTTTTTTTAAAAAAAAAATTCTATCAAAGAAATTCATATTTAAACTATAAATTTTTAAAAATGTTTCAAAATATTACTTAGCTCTAATTCTCTAAAAAGAGTAGCCAATTCTCACTTTGCTATAGTGTTGGTTGTGAGATAAACAATGTTATTTATAGAAAATTTATCTTCAACTATATATCTTGTTTTAATATCTTTATTATCAAACTGCTGCCTTTCTTTATCTAACATATCTACCTATTCATGCAAGAAGTTATCAAATTTTCTTCATTACCTATAAGTTCATTATCTAATTCCTTATCCAAAAATTCCTCT